TTCTTTCTCAATCTCGATCTTTCCCGGAAAGAATCCTTTGCTGACTTAGGGGTGGGTCCTCGAGTTTTCACCGGGGAGATGTATAAACACTCCAATTCTTTGTTATTGCATTTGGCACAGGGATTACCCCCGTCACACTTTGTCTTTGTTTTTTTGCAGTTTGTGCATGCGACAGTGACATTCTTTCTAAGGTGTTCCTTCGTCATTATTTGAATCTTGTTATAAATGACGCTTCTCGCAAAGGATGATGATATATGTGACTATGCGCAATTATATGATTAAAGCAAATGAACTTCTTTAAATTTTTTTCAAAATGTCTAGGACAGAATCTCTCACATTTATAAGAATCGCGTCATGCAAATTGTACATCGATCGTTTCAGATTCTAAGTAATTGGAGTTCTGTTGCACAGACCTGTCGAATTTGGATAGATTGCATAATGGTATTTTTGGAGATGTTATAAGTCATTACGGTTTACATAGTGAGTGACCTTTTCCAAACATTCTTGAGTAAATATATCAATGTTAAAAGTAAAAGTATAAAGCATCGATCGCATGTGGGTATTCATTAGTGTCGAATTTATCAAATTGGATAATTTCAGAACACATTTTCTTTCCAATATTTTGAATTCATGTCATCGCTTCACATAGCATCCTCTCTTGTCATATTTTCTTCCTTCACCAATAAAACCTGTATTGACATTAAGAACCTGTCTTTCGACGACTGAAATATCTACTAGCCACAACATTGTTTCATAGGGTGCCATGAAGAAGACAATCGTCATACATGCATTATTCACACATCATTTTGGTTACTTCACGTAGCTGATTTACACGAAAGACAATGGACGCGAAATTGATGTTTGGACCCCAGCCACTGTAAGTCGTCCATCAAAAGAACCATGGAAGCCTCACAAAAGCCACAGTTTCCATCGAAAAATGCATGAGCCTTGCATTTAACTATATGCAGAAAGAATGTGAGTTACCAAAGATACTGATAGGTTCGAAATTTTATTGGTAAAAATAAACTGAATTGATGAATTTCGTGGTTACTTTTGGTTGAGCAGCAGGAAGCACGAGCAGACATACATCGGAATAATAAACTATTTTTTTTTAAACGAATTTCATAGTATTTACTGCAAAATTTAAATATCAAGATTAAGGAACTAACTTCTCATTCTACTTTAATACAGTACCTGATAAAAAATTTTTTTTGCTCCATTGAAAAATATCTTCATAGAAATTTCACAAAAAAGAAAAAAAAGCAATAATGAATCATTCGAAATTTTATAAGAAAATTTAAAACCGTTACTTTTTTTAATCATAGCGACAGTTTAATGCTCATACTGTACATGACTATTTGTTTGAAATAAAAATTTGGACATGTGTTTTTTTCTTACAATGCAATGAATGTTTCTCCAATAATGAACTACTAATCTTATTAACTAAAAGTTAAAATATACAGTATATTTAACGAATTTATGTTTAATCTTAAAAAATGATCGTCTGATAAGTAAGATCTACAAATCTTATATCGTTATCCATGTCGAAAAGCAAGAGACAAGCTGGCAAGCATTTATATTTTCGGTTTCCTACTGAAACATAAGATGATTAATAAATTGTGCTTACCTTCTCGTGGTCCAGACAGTTTCTGAATCTTCAACCGAGAACACGGAGAAATTAAAAGAAAAAATCAAAGAATTGGAACATGGTATACTCGAAAGCAAATCAAATTACAATAATTTTGTAATTTTGCTTGAATGCACGGAGGTTTGTAAATAATTTAATTTTTTCCCGAACCCATTTTTCCATTAATGACCTTGAATCAAAATTTCGCATTTTAGCACAAGTCTCCAAAGGTCATACACGCTGCCATACACGCTCTTTATAGGTCATTTTTGCCTCTTCTAGCTAGAGGAGAGCTACAAAAACCAAAAGGACCAACAGGAAATGATGATAAGGTCACCATAGTTATTTGGCTTAGAGAAAATTACATTCGATATGTTAATAAACTATGCTCTTTGCTTCGACATGAGGAACCCGGTTTACAGGTATACAATGTATAAGTGCACATAGAGTTGTAGTTTTGCGAAGAGAACCTTGATTTCATTTATTTATTTACTGCAAAGGTTCCTTCACTGAACATCCTCTTAGAGCTCCTTAAAGTGGAATCATCTTATCTCTCCACCTCTTCAGGGGTTCACCACTTTTCAAATAATCATTTTTATCGAGTGGTAGAAGGCCTAATTGATAATGAAAATTTCAGCGAACAGCTGAAAACAGAATTCGTTAAAAAATATTTTAATATTTATGATGATCTGAGATTTTACTTTCTCAAAGATGCTTCGTAAGTTTAGGATTATGCAAAATCATTGTGTTATAGATTTTGTTCGAAACATCATTAACAATAATGACTTGATAGTAAAATAATAAATTTAGCTATGGATAGTGGGAAACCGAAGGATAAGTCTGGGCCTATTTCCAAGGTAAAGGATCATTATCGGATCACTTTAAATATTCCATCCTTATGCTGACCTCATCCTTTCCCTCAAACATTAGAAAAAACGGACAGAAGAGATACCTGATGTTAGGCTAAACAATTTAATGGAAAATACTTTTGCCATACTTGAAAAGTTGCAAACCATGCCAACCGTTGCATCAGAA